GGCAGGGACACCTCCCACTCGGCCAGGTTGCTCAGAGCTTCATCAGACCTGCTCTTGAACACTTCCAGTGATGGGGCACCCACAGCTTCTTTGGGTGGCCTGTTCCAGTGTCTCACTACCCTCACAGTAAAGAGTTTCTTCCTAATACCTAGTTTAAATCTACGAGGTGACCTTGTGTTGTGGCTACAGGCCTTGGTAAAAGGTCTCTCTCTTACAAGCCTTCTTTGTTTATTGATAGGCCACAATAAGGTCTCACTGGAGACTTGACTTCTCTGGGCTGAACAACCCCAACTCTCTCAGCCTTTCTTCTAGGACAGGTATTCCCAGCCCTCCCAAGTGGGAGACCCCTATTTTTGTGTCCCTCCTCTGCACCCACTCTAACAGGCCTGTGTCTTTCCTCTGTTGGGGACCCCAGAGCTGGACGCAGTAGTTCAGGTGGGGTCTCGCAGGGTGGAGCAGAAAATCGCCTCCTCCAGCCCCCTTCTTCTTGTGTGTCCTCAGGTAGGACTGGCTTTCTGGGCTGCAAGTGTGTATTGCAGGCTCGTGTCTCTTTCTCCACAGGGCTGCTCTCAACCCATTCATCCCCCAGCCTGTATTGATACTGAGGATTGCCCTGATCTGTGTGCAGGACCTTGCACTTGGCATTGTTGAACTTAATGAGGTTCACATAGGCCCACTCCTCAAGCCTGTCAAGGTCCCTTTGTGTGGCATCTCTTCCCTCTAGCGTGTTCAAACCAGTACTCTATAATAGTTAAGTATTTATTGAACAACTTGTGAGAGAATGGCTAACCTGTTGCATTTGGGTCAGCCCTGTACCTTCCACTAAGTCTGATAGGCACTACCCTCACCTTTTAAATGAGAGCACAGGAGAGCAGGTGGTTGGACTTCAGGCTGGATGAGTTGTTCTGTCACCCAGCAGTCTGCTTCCTGCTGTCCTCTTTTACAGAAACCCCACAGCCCTTACTTGCTGTGCCCAGTACACACGGGTGTGCTCAGTCGAGTGTACGTTTGACCAGTGGTGGTGTTGGCCTCTCACAGAGAGGAATATCCATACGTTGGGCACATTCGCTGGCACTGGAGGAAAGGGCTCATCACTGCATTTTAGTCATCTGTCTGTGAAGGCTGCACGCTTATGGAGCTATGTCAGAAGGGAGATACATGTTTAATTATTTTTACTGTTAAGTGGGGCTCTCCTGGAATACTGCTGCAAAAGACTCCTTTGTGGAATTCTGAATGGCATCAATTAAAGTTTAGGTCATCTCAGAAAAAGGGCAGCGGCAGTAGCACCTCTGTTTCCTTTTTACTGCCTGGTGTATTCTTGCATGCCTGCTCTAGCACTGGGATTTCTTTGTGAAATTAAAGCTTTCTGGCATTAGACACAGTTCAAAATTATTCTAGATTTCTTGTCTCTGTTCTGTTGCAAATTCTCTGTACCTTGTTTCTTCGTGTTTGTCATCTTTTTCCAGTGAATCAGAAGAATTGTGTTGTCAGTTTCTAGTCTTTGTTGTAGAAAGATTGGCAGCAAATGGTGTGTATCTCAGCTATTCACATAATTTAGGGCACTTCTTTCCTGAGCACAAAGATAAGGCTAAACTGAAGTGCCAGTTTGTGAGCCAGTATCAAGCTCCAAATATACAATTTCTGTTAAAATAACATGCTTTGGCAGAAGGCTGCCCTGTATCTTAGAAGGTATAAAAAAACCCCAAGCAACTAACTTTATCTGGTCTCCCAAGCTTCACTCATTTGTCACCAATGTAGTTGCGAAAACTCTGTTTGATACCAAATACAATTAAATGTTTTGTCTCAAATTTTTGAAGTAAGCAAAATGCCTCTGTTTTGTCACCAGTGTTTAAAAAATGCCTAATAATTAAGACAGGGGTTTGTATAACATATGGCATCCGTAATGGTTATTTTTACTGACTTTGACAAGTTGAAAGGGATAAATGCTAGTTGGTTTTTGGATTGGAAGTTGGCTTAATTATGTTAGCTAGCAAAACAAACTATATGTCCCCTTTAAATCATAGAAGGGAATTAATTATTTTTCTTGTGTTTCAGCCTTTTGAACCAGAGTATTTTTGTAGCAGTAAGATGATTTCTTTCATTAAGCCATCCAATAATTTAACAGGTCATTTCTTAAGTATCACAGAAGGGTTGAGGGTGCAAGGCACCTCTGGAGGGCATCTGCTTCAATTCCCTTCTCAAGCAGGGCTGCCAGAGCCAGTTGCCCAGACAGCTTCTGGATTTCTCCATGAATGGAGACTCCACAACCTCCCTGGGCAACCTCTGCCAATTCTTGGTCACCCTTACTGTGACAAAGTATTTCTTGATGTTCAGAGGGAACCTCCTTTGTTTCACTTTGTGCCCACTGCCTGTAGTCCTGTCACTGGGCACCACTGAAAATAACTTGGCTCTGTCCTCTTTGGACCCTCCCTTGAGGCATTGTTATATACACTGATGAGATCCCCTTGAGGCTTCTCTTCTCCAGCCTGAACAATCCCAGCTCTCCCAGCCTTTCCTCAGGAGGGATGCTCCAGTCCCTTAATCTTTGTGGGCTCTTTTATGGGCTCTCTTCAGTGTGTCCATGTCTCTCTTGTACTGAGGAGCCCAGAACTGGACGCAGTGCTTCAGGTGTGGCCTCACCAGTGCTGACCAGAAGGAAGAATAATCACCTGCCTCAGCCTGTTGGCCACACTCCTCTTAATGCAGCCCAGGATACCATCCACTGCCTTTGCAGCAAGGGCACCTCGCTGGCTCATGTTCAACTTGGTGTCCACCACGATTTCTAGGTCCTTTTCTGCCAGGCTGCTTCCCAGCTGGGTGGCCCCCAGCACTGGTGTGTGGGGCTGTTCCTCCCCAGATGCACAACTGGGGAATTCCCCCTGTTGAAATTAATGAATTTCCTGTCAACACATTACTCCAGCCTGTAGAGGTAGCTCTGGGTAGCATCCAAGTCGAGGGTGAAAAATAATTTCTCTTGTTGTTGACATATCTGAAATTGTACCCAGTGGATATTCCTGACCTGCTTTCTGAATTGCAGTAGAAGTTTACATTCTGTTTGAGGGAGGTGAGTTTATTTTGATAGTACTATTAAGTAGTTCTTTACGGGAAAAATGGCAAAGGGAAATACAGCTTTGCAGAAATACAGCTTCAGTCATTCTGAAAGGGACTAAAAGCATATTCACACTCCCAGCCTTTCCTCAGGAGGGATGCTCCAGTCCCTTAATCTTTGTGGGCTCTTTTATGGGCTCTCTTCAGTGTGTCCATGTCTCTCTTGTACTGAGGAGCCCAGAACTGGACGCAGTGCTTCAGGTGTGGCCTCACCAGTGCTGACCAGAAGGAAGAATAATCACCTGCCTCAGCCTGTTGGCCACACTCCTCTTAATGCAGCCCAGGATACCATCCACTGCCTTTGCAGCAAGGGCACCTCGCTGGCTCATGTTCAACTTGGTGTCCACCACGATTTCTAGGTCCTTTTCTGCCAGGCTGCTTCCCAGCTGGGTGGCCCCCAGCACTGGTGTGTGGGGCTGTTCCTCCCCAGATGCACAACTGGGGAATTCCCCCTGTTGAAATTAATGAATTTCCTGTCAACACATTACTCCAGCCTGTAGAGGTAGCTCTGGGTAGCATCCAAGTCGAGGGTGAAAAATAATTTCTCTTGTTGTTGACATATCTGAAATTGTACCCAGTGGATATTCCTGACCTGCTTTCTGAATTGCAGTAGAAGTTTACATTCTGTTTGAGGGAGTTGAGTTTATTTTGATAGTACTATTAAGTAGTTCTTTACGGGAAAAATGGCAAAGGGAAATACAGCTTTGCAGAAATACAGCTTCAGTCATTCTGAAAGGGACTAAAAGCATATTCACAGGCAATGTAATAACTTAGGCTTGACATAAGCAGCATTGTGTTCAGTGGGGAGAAGAAATAGCCCAGCATGTTGGTGTGTTTACTGCTGCCTGGCGCCAGCCAGTAAGAGCCTTGTGGCTTGTAGTGACAACAGTGAGGGAAACCATGGGCTGTGTTCTGGTGTGGGAGGGGAAGGGAGAGATTACAGCAGGGTGAGGAAGAGACACAGGGTTGGAAGAGGAACAAATAAAGTACAGATGGAGCCATTTTAAGAACGCAGGAGAAGGAAGGGCTGTAGGAGCAGTTGTAAATTGCACGGTGTGGCAGTTTTGTTGTAGAAAGAGTAAGGATCTGAAAATTGCTAGGTAAAAGTGTAACCTAGGAAAGTAACTGCATGGTTGAGCCCAGATATTGCACAGAAGTAAAATAATTTTGGGATTGAGTGATTGATTTTAATGCTTTAAGGTAGCATCATATCTATAGATGAATTTCTGGAACTAGGTTCAGGAGGACAAATTTTTCTATCTATTTAACTTCTTAATGTAGACTTCTTATTACTGTTATTAATCAGAAAAATGTTCTACATTAGTCTTCCCTGTAACATAATCTTAAGGGACATTTGTCTGTTGTTAGACTTTAACAGCTATCTGGAAATTATTTATGGGAGGTTGGGAAAAAATACAGGAGTTGACAATATTGAAACAAAATAGAGTGGCATTAAGAGTAAAATAGAAAAACTGCTAAATAGAAAAACTGTAACTTCTGGTGTTCAAACTGTAGATGTTAATTGTCTTACAGTGTGAGAATACTTACCTAGTGCAGAACCTTTTATAGCTACTGTCTGACCACGTTGTTTGAGGACTATGTTGCTTAAGTAGTCAGCTTGTAACCCAAATTAACTTTACTGTCCTCTTCCTGTATTTAAAGATGTGTGTGCTCCTCTCTCTGTGAAGCAGGACGTTCTTTACTCTTGGTATCAGTTGATTTACTGAGTTGATGCCTTTTTCCCTATGTTAGAAAACATGTTTAGGGTTAAAAAAACCCCAAACAACCCACACGTTATAAAGATTGCTCATGACAGTTGTCAAGCATCTCAAGATTGAAGCATTTTGTACTAAGTGCATCCTTGGCTGTGTTTCAGGTGTTTAGGACATAATTGTTAATGGAAGAATTAATGTATAAGTACAAAATAAGAAGGGCAATCTAATCCTTGAGGAAATGGCAGGATTCCTAGACAACTTCCGATGGCCAGAATGTGAGTGCATTGACTGGAGTGAAAGAAGAAATGCCATCGCATCAATAGTTGCAGGAGTATTGGTAAGTTTTGAGAAGATGTGAATCATAATGTGTTGAAAAATGTGGAAGTATGACACAAAGTGACATTTTTTGTTTCATATATTGTGAAGGTTCACTCTTTAAATGCACCTTAATCCGGTATGTTTTGTTAACTTCTCTAAAGCATAATTATTAGGCAGCTTTTTTGCAGGTACCATAACTTTGCCTTTTGTCTCATAATGATGTACCAGTTCTGTTGTCTCTTTAAGAAAGATTGAAATTCCTAGTGGATTTTTGGCATAATTAGATGTGTTAGAACACCTATGATATACATAGTATCTTGTAGGTGTTTGGAATCTGAATTCTTATTCTTAAAGCTGTATTGGGAATTTAGTCATACACTGATATTTAATTTGAATTAAAAATGTAACAGATTCCCAAATACTCCTCTGAAATAATCAACATTAAGGCTCATGCAGAACTTGCATATCAAACTGATTTAGAGTCTGGCTTAAAGCTTTTAACTTTCTAAAATAGTTTGTACTTGGTAAAAAACAAACCAATTATGTGCATAAACATTTGCCTTGCTTTCTCTGCCTATCTCTGAACCTTCCAGCCTCATAATCCTGGTCTGTTTTATTTTCAGTTTTTCACAGGTTGGTGGATAATGATAGATGCTGCAGTAGTTTACCCTAAGCCAGAACAAATGAACCATGCATTCCATACCTGTGGGGTGTTTTCAACACTAGCTTTTTTCATGTAAGTGCATGTAAGGGAGAGTTCTTATAAAATACATGAGCTATTAAACAGTTTTCACTAGACAATATGGTATATCATAAAACTTTGAAGCACTTGGGTATAGATTGCTTAGGAGTAACCTTGTCATACCTTTTTGCATGGCTTTTCAGATGCCCTTTGGCAGAATGTATGAAAGCAGAACTTCTGTTGCAGGCATTCTGTTATAGGTGTTTAGATTCCTAGACCAAAATTCATGTAATGCTGCTCAGTTGCTTACCTCAGTATAAAACATTTGACTGCATTTTCCCCTGTTTTAAAGTAATTTTTACATCTGTCTCCTACCTCAAGACTTCCTCAAATGGGAGAGGTAGTGGTATTGTAGCTATTGTTATAAAGATATAATGTGGCAAGCTTGAAGAAGTAATAGCTCTTACTGAATCATACAGTATTGGCAGAAAAAGGGATGCATTTGGATATGCAAGACCTTCTTAACACTTGGTATCTGAAAGTTTCTGGATTTTTTTTTTTTGTTGAAGAAGAGACTGGGATGAGTCAAAATCATAGAACAGAATGGTTAAGTTTGGAAGGGACCTTAAAGATCATCAGGTTCCAAGCTCCCTGCTATGAGCAGGGACACTTCACACTAGACCAGGCTGCACAAGCCTCATCCAACCTGGCCTTAAACACTTCCAGGGAGGGGGCATCCAAAGCCTTTCTGGGTAACCTATTCCAGTGCCTTACTACCCTCACACAGAATAATTTCTTCCTAATATCCTAAATCTGTCCTCTTTCAGTTTAAAACCATTACCCTTTGTCGTGTTTTCACCCTCTCTGATGAAGAGCCCCTCCCCAGCTTTCATGTAGGCCCCTTCAGGTACCGGACGGCTGCTATAAGGTCTCCCTGAAGCCTTCTCCAAGCTGTGGGGATTGGACTGGGCCCCCTTGCTTTCTAAACTCCTTCTCAGAGGGCAGTCTGGATGCGGCTGGATCCATTCTTAGCCTCTGACTGTAAAGAAAAGTTTGGACCCTGGGTTCTGTCACAGAGTTGGTTTATTGCAGCTCTGAGGGTCTCCATTCACCATCAGTCACCTGTTGTCAGGACAATTTCCCCTCATTCTCTAGTTACTTCTTGTCAGGTTAATTCTGCAACAGCCCAGTTTCTCAAACCTGAGTTTCAATTAACCCATCTTATCATTATATAAAATCATTTGAGTTACTATCTCATTGCCTACATCTGGTTTCAATGTTATTCTAGGTGGTCACAGTAAAAGTTCAACTAAGGTTTAATTACAAGAATTCAATTAAAATTGAGTTACAGTTTGCAGCCTAAGGCCTTATCACTCCAGCTACTTGTAGCAAGTTAAATCACGTACATCAAGCAGTTTTCAGTTTGCACGAATATTAAACATTTATACAATTAATTCCAATATGCCTTTAAGCAATCTTTTAATCTCAATATCCCTATAGTCAATCCATTTCTACTTTGAACAGCCCCTCTGTTTTATTTAGTATACCTACTAATACTTAATTGAAAGTTCTTGACATTTTTCAAGGTGCCTTATTAGTGTTAATATAGTATCATTTTCCTCAGCAGTGTAACTCATTTTAAGAAAGTATATTGTCCCTCCTTAGAGGGTGTCTTTTGGATACTTATGGTATATGGAAGGCAAGCAACTTGTATAATAATCAGAAGAGGACTGTATTACTGGCTGCTTTTATTCCTGTGAAGTGACTTTAAATATTTTAAAAACTTAAACAGCCAGAAAGTGACCAGGAATATTTCAGTCACCATAAAGGGCAATTCTTTCATCTTTCAGGTCTGTTAATGTAAAACCTTACGTAAAACTTCTGAACAAATGTGGGGTTTTCTTGAAATACAGTTGGAATCCTTCTGTTAAGGGATATGCAATAATATGTGACTATACAGAATACTAAATCATTTTCCAGAATTTTTTGCATCTTTAAACAAGCTGGCATTTTACTTATAACTTCAAATTTATTTTCTCATAATCTGAAGTGGGTTTGGTTTTTTTGTTCCTAGGATAAATGCTGTATCAAATGCACAGGTGAGAGGAGACAGCTATAGTGATGGATGTTTAGGAAGAACAGGTAAATTAAACTCTACAAATCACGCAGAGTTGAAAGACCAATTATTTAGATGTTGTGGGGTTTTTTTTCTAAGTGCTGGTTAACTATCTGCAAATCCTGTACAGCTGCTGGGAGAAATACATTTATGCCTTGTGTTAGCCTGTAGAGCAGACATTCCTTAAGAATGCCTTACTTGACTGCCAGTGTATCACAAACATTCTGTTTCCTCTGTGTGTCATCTACTGTGTGGTGGCTGTGGACCTGCTGTCCTCTCTCAGCTTTCATTCATAATTCCCTTAGTATTTCCCATGTGGATCCCAGCATCTGTTTTCATATCATTTGAAGAATGCCTCACTGGTAGGATTTATTGATTTTTTTATTTTTATTTTTTTTTCCTCTTGTGTACTCTGCTTTTTTTGTGTGTCATTCATAAATCAGCTTGAGAATTTTTCCTTTCCCATGAGTGAGCAGGTTCATTATTTTCAATGGCATCACCTTCCTTTTTCAGTAGGTCATGTCTAGCTCTGGTAGATATTGCCCATCTGAAAATATCTTTATGAAGGAAGCCCAAGAAGGGTTTGTTTTATGTACCCTGTTGGAATGGCATCTTTACCTCAGAAACAGTATCTTGGCCAAAGTACTTCATTGTTAGTTACAAGTTGTGTAAAGTGTTATAGGTGTTTCTTACAGATGAGGAGAAATTTTTGGTTGTTGTGTCTGCTCACTAAAACAAGGGTAATCCAGCAACTGTGTTTTCCTAAAGAAGGCAAATTTTGGTTTGTGTTGTCCTTGATACAAGATTTAACCCTTTCTCTTTGTGCCTTCAGCAGTATAAAACATTTTATCACAATAGAGTAGTAGCTTGGATCATCTGGCACTGCGTAATAGAGTACATGGTTCTCAGAAGTTTTAATATTTCCTGCAGGTGCTCGTGTCTGGCTCTTCATTGGCTTTATGTTGATGTTTGGTTCACTTATTGCTTCAATGTGGATTCTTTTTGGAGCATATGTTACACAGAGTAAGTGTGTTTATTTTAGTGTATTGAAAAGTTCTTTAGCTGTCAGCCAAAAGGCAGAAAATCCAGAAGAATGGAAGTCTGTGGTCTGTTCTTGTCAGAGCTATACCATCTAGTTTCATAGTCAGAGAATGATACTGTGAATAGTGTTTTAAATACACCTTCTAATACTTAATATTTCCATTGTTGCTTATTTTGCAGACACTATTGTTTACCCTGGATTAGCAGTGTTTTTCCAAAATGCATTGATATTTTTCAGGTAAGTCATCTGGGCAAATTTTCTTCCTTCAAAAGGGGTTTCTGACTTACCTGCTTCCATGCACATTGATACTCCTGGAATACAAGTTCTGAAAGCTGGAGGCTATTCCAGGCCTGACGTTCCAAAGTCTGGAGTTTGCTGCTCTCAATGCAAGACCCTCCCTATTTTGATTTATTACCCACCCTGACCTTTACTTGAGGAGGGTGACCAAGGGACTTCTTGGGTCACTGGGTAAACTGACATTATACAGAGAAGTGATGTGATATTATTCAATGCATAAACTGATCAAACTATATCTTAAAAGCTGTATTTATTTTTTTTACTCTGCTACTTTTTTCCTGCTCCTTTTGCTCTAGTACTTAGAAACAATATTTTACTTACCCCTTACCAGCCCATGAGAGGCTCTTAATTGCCCTCATGCTCCTGCTAGTCCAGCTCTTTCTGGTCTCACTACATTTACAGCTCTAGAATGTGGATGACCAAGGAAATAGTATTCTGGGTAAGATATTGACAGTGTCTTTGGATAATGGCTGTAATGCTTTCATCTCTACTACAAATACATTGGCATATACCCAAACAGTCATAGGTGGGAGATCCTATTGTCCTTTTCCTGACTATTTCATATCATTGGCTTGATTATCTGATAGTTGATACACCTAGATTTGTTTCTAATGGATGAGCTTTCAGTTATTAAGAGTGATTTATTTTTTTTAAAGCATGATGGTAATACTTACATTTATTTTGCTTAACATCATTAAGCATATCAGTCGACACTTTGAAACTATGTGTATCTGTATGACACTTTGAAACATGAGGAATGCCTTCTGCAATCCATGAATTGTATTGATTAGTAGAAGACACATTAGGTACTGTAAGGTCTGAGATCAGTTACTGAAAAAGCTCATATCACCTCCTCATCTGCAAGACCTTACCACTTAAATTGCCATGCTAAACATTTTTCCTTCTGGTATCATCTCAAATGCTTTGCAGAGAGCCAGATCGATTAGCTCCATTGTGCTTCCCTGTTTAGAAAATCAGCTCTGTTCTTGCAGGAAATTGGAGTTCTTAAATGTCTTCTGTAGCCTTGGACAGGACTGAAGTGGGATATTGATAGTGGCAGACTTTTGAGAATAATTTCATCCCACCTGAAATCTTCAGTCTAATTTCAGTAGTTTGCTTAGCTTATTTCTGGAGCTGCTTTTTTTTCTGAAAATGCATTTGCTTAGTTTTCCTTATACTCTGTATGTAGATACATATTTTGCAATCTAAAATTTGTTTTATAAGTATTGAGCTATGAGATAAATTACAACCTTTTTATTTTATTTTTTTTTAAAGAGGGCTTTGTTTTTTATCCCACCACACACTTCAAGCAGTAACATTTGATAAGTCCATCTGTCATAAACTCCCTTCCTTGGACCAGGTCTGGGTCAGTCAGCAATGCCCTTCTCAATGTCCTTATCCAAAACTTTTGTTCTGACTGAAACAGATTCTTGGCCATCAGTGTTGTTCCATAATCTCTCTTCCCTGAACCACGTGTTTCCTTCAGGACTCGCACTTCAACCCTGACTGGTACTCCACCAGTTGTCTTACTTAGTTGAACATGCTGTATTAGTAGTTGTCTAGTTAATCACCTAAGTGTCTAGCTTATTTGAGTTATCATCACTTGTTATTGTTGTTCTTGGTGTCAAGTGTTTCTCATCTCCCTCCCTTTTCACTCTCTTATGATTACTATGACTGTGCCCTTCTTTACCACCTGTTTGTGGGCTATAAGAAAAAAGTATTAGAAACACTAAGGAAGTAATGTTCAGTTTTGCCCCTTCACCATTTATTTTTTTTTGATTCATAACAATATGTGATTGCTTCCAACCTTATAAAAGGAATTTTGGAAATCAAATTGTAATTTGGATTTTCCTTATCCACTACAGGATCAATATTCTTTCTGATTTGCTCATAAAAAATGTAATTGCTTAGATTTTATCCTAGTATGATGCCTTAGTATGAGACTGGCTGCTCTGTAACTCGGTGGATCTGTCCTTGAATCTAGAATTAAATACCAACATTTTTTTCCTTTGGAAGGGCAGGTGCTTTTCCTGTGAAACTGGCTATTCTTTTAATTTGAGCAGTTGCTTCAGCTGGGTCTCAGTTTTAGCAATGCATAGAAAATTCAGTATAGGTACTGGGTTGAATAAAAGTTAAGGTTACTGGAGGGATGTTGATTTGCAGTGTAGGCAGTGCAAGATTATAAAAATACTATTGAAATTACCTTGTCCACTTCAAGTATGGTCTGATGTATTTTTCACTTATTTTTTTCCTTCTTCAGTACTCTGATCTACAAGTTTGGAAGAACAGAAGAGTTATGGGGATGAGAGGTCATGTATAGCATTGTCTGATCCATAGTTGCTATGTCGTACTATGTATGTAGATATATTTACATTTACTTGTTCTTGGTTTGCTTTCTAAATAGTATGGACTGAGACAAATTACAGTTTCTGTAATAAGTTCCCTCTTTTCACAGGACAGATTTGTGAATATGTACATATGACTGTATATATCTTTAAAAGGGAATGTCAGGCTTTCTGTCTGCAATCTTCAGGCTTTTTTCTTCAAGTACGTGGGTTTCCACCAACTCCTAGGACTTGATCTCCCAAACCCTCACCTGTGTCAGACACTTCAGCGAAACTCATAGTGAACAAGCAGGATAAAGCCTGTGCTCTGGAGGGGGTTATTGCTTTCAGGCCTAGGTGAGCTAGAGCTGGTTGTGCAAAGGGCTGACAGCAACAACTGCCTGTGTCACCTGCAAGAGCGGTCGGTGCACTGAGGTGACCCAGCTGAGCCTGTGTTTGATGAGGGTCAATTCTGTTGTATGCTGAGAAATGAGCTGATTTTAAGAATTTTGTACAACTGTTCAGAAAAATATGAAGTAGCTATTTTTTTGTAAAAGGTTATAAATTTTTAAACAAGGCCCCATATTAAGCAGGTTCTGCATGGCAAATCAAACTCTTTGTGACTTTTGAATGCTATAGCACAAATTACATTTGGTAGCACCACAGTCCTTAGAATTAGTTTCATGCTGTCCAGAGAAATTGATTCCAATTCCTATTTCATGTATTTACTGATATGAGAATTAAAAAAAACCCAACAAAACAGCAAACAACAAAAACAAGCCCACTACTGCTCATATTTAAGGAATATTAAGAACAGATGAGAGTCAGCCTAACATCTTTAAAATTACACTAGCAGAGTTTTTTTCCAGGGAAAGCTTTTTGCTGATAAATGAAAAGTTACCCTGCTACCTATTGCCTTTTCTGTTTAAAAGGCAATCATTTCAAGTGGGGATATAGTTAGATGTATTTATTGCTCACAATCCTACCTTGAAATAATTGCCAATTTTGCTGTTTTTCCCAGTTAAAATGTATTTATCTCCTAAATTTCATGGACAATTTATGGCAATGTTTCCATTATTGAAATCCAGTTTCTTCTATCTGGAGTACACAGAAAGGGAGGACAATTATGTTTTATAGCTTTGGACTGATCTTGTCTGTTCGTTTTGCTGTTGGTGATTTCCTTATCCTAGGAGTTATTTGTGGTTTTTAAAGCATTTGATTCTACCTTGTGTCTAAAAGCTTTTATAACTTTCCATATATCAAGATCGCTGACCAAATATTATTAAACTGCAGAATGTAACTTTTGTGCATGGTTACTGTACACTGTTAGTCATCTAATTACTCCCTTGTGGGAATCTCTCCAGTGGACAGAATATGAAGCAAATACTGCAGCTGAAATTGTGCTACTGGCTAGACTAACTTCATCCTGATTGCACCATCCTGCAGTGAATTACAATATATTCACTGGTGTCAACCGTAGCTTTGTACATAAGTTGTCTGTTTGGTTGTAATTTCAGAAAACTGCAATAAACTTATGTTCTCAAAATTGTGAACTTTACAAGGTCATTGTACAGTAGTACTCTACTTAATAGCTTGAGCAGTACTGACCTTTAAGCAAGATGCAAGGTTTTTGTTTCAGGTCTGTCAGTTTCTTGCTTAGGAGCTTGGGGGAATGTTCCTTGGCTTTTTTACTAAGTGAGAAGCAAGTGTGGCCTATAACTAATCCCAGTTATGCTATCTTGCACCTGACACTTGAACAGCTCAAGTGTTTGACTCTGGAGGAACTCTTACAGCATGACTTAATGTATGGTTGTGGTTTAAAAACAGTTTCAAGAGCAGGACAAGAGCTTCTTTCTGAGGTGACCTGCATTTTCTACCAGAAGTTTGCTCTCTTGCAAGAATTTCTGGACAATCTCTGGTTTTAGAGAACTGCAATTGTCATGTTCTCTATATAGCTGCTAAGAGGAGAAAAGAGACTGCTTTGAGCTTGTTTCTTTTTCAGTAGCTGATTCTGAAAATAGGAGTAGTGTAAGAACCATGCAGGCTTCTTTCAAGATATCCCAGGACCCACTTTTACACCACAGGCAGTTCCAGCACAGGCCAAGGTGGGTAGGGGTAGCCCATTTTAGGTAATGCCTTGGCCTGCTGCAGTTGGTGGTTGTGAAGATAACCCACAGGTTCTTGATTTTGGCCTATTTGTGTCACTGCAAGAAATATTTAGTAACAACCATCTCTGTCAGAAGTCTAGTGTAGGGCATATTTGGGAAGTTGCATGCTGCATTCCTGGATACTCATAGTGTTTTATCTGCCCTCTGATTTATGTCAGCTGTTATGCATAGGTTGTAGGTTGTTCCTTTGCAAGCCTGTGGTTCTTCATTTGTTTACAGCACAGTATATAAAAAGAATATGGATTAACATAAAAGTAGATATTACGCAGCTTGTGGCTGACTTGAAAATTATTACCAGACTTGAAGTATGACTGAGCCTCCAGAGAACTACTCTGTCTTGGCATATTGCCTGATCATAACTGATGGGTTTAGTTCTATCAACAAACAAACTGAAAACATTTTTTTTTGGGGAAAAAAAAAAAAGTTACTGACTTTTCATGCTAGTTTTGTGTATTGCTGGAAGGAGTAGAACAGCATTACCTTAGATAACCCACACCTCTTGACAGTGACCAGGTTCATTAACAGACCTAAGTAACTTGAAAAAGTTATTTGCAAACAAGCAAGCATATTTTTCTTTTTTTTATTTTCTTTTTAACAAGTTGTATCAAACCCCAGAAAAAAGCCAAAACAAATAAAACCAGCCTTTTTAGTACAGAAGTGGTTCATTGGTTATTTGTCCTTTATTAGATACCAGATTGTGATGTAAGGCTTTACTTGTAGTTTGCTTCAAGGGACTCAAAACACAACCTTCTGTCAACTCTCCATTTGTGGGACTAATCTGAGATTTTAGTGTCTGATAAAAAGACATACATATTATATAAATTCTGAGCAAAATTATTTTAAAGCTTGTTTTGCTGTGAGGAACAACTGTCTCACTGCAGGAGAAGATTAATGCTTCACATGAATGTGTGGGAGGCAGATACTAGGCAGCCTTTCCTGGCGCAGTTCTTCACACAGATTTGTGCTGCAGAGAGTGAAGCACTGTAAAATGTCTTTTTAGAGTGGCATTTTTATCTGCAGGGAAGAACGTGCCACAGAAGATGCCATGTACTTACAAACCATTCAGAAAAATATACTGGGATGGATATAATACATGTTGAGTTTACAATTAAGGCAACAAAACAAAAGCCAGTGACTGATGGTGCCATTGAAAAACTCACGGTAGTACTACATCCTACAATAAAGTGCTGTTATTTCTCAAAGCTTTATTTCATTTCAAGGTGGAAAATATGATTATGTTAATAAAAAAACCTTTCATAAACATCTGTCTTAAGAAAATTTAGTGTTCATTGTCCTTCACCTTCCACCTGATAAGTCTCTTTGGCAGAACACAGTTGCTATTGTGGCACAGCAGAAGCCATTTAAACATGGGCTTAGGGTCCACACTATTCTCAAGAAGCAACATCTTGCTCAGAATTTGTCAGTGGCTGCATTCTGTCCAGAGCTGGGTTGTCTGTCCTGACAGCAGCCACAAGGTACTGCTCATGGGCAGGAGCCTCTGCAAGGACTCAGTCCAGGCACTCTCACTAGGGTAGCACTTAAGTTACTTCGCTGTCAGTGGAGATGCTGCATGAATGAGCTTGACCATCCAAACTGTCGCCACAGGCTTGACTTCCTTCCACATGAGATAAAACAAATGAGGAATCAAGAGGCTCCTCCTCAACGTGATTGTCCAACAGCTCCAGAACAGGCATAGGAGGGTCTTTCAAATACTGGAGAAAGCCAGAAACAACAGTTTAGGTATCTATCCACAGAAGAGAGGTGTTCAAAATTACAGAAACAGAGCAAGCAGAGGTTGCATCAGACTAGAATTCCTAGCAAGAGTTGCTAAATGTGTATTCTATTCTGGATTTCCTTGGAACTACATTGAACAAGGAAGGTAAAAATAATTTATTTTTCCTAAGAAATAAGTCAATCATGAAAACGTCCATTTAAGGGAGACCAGTTCCTTTTTTTTTTTTTTTTTAATTTGGCTAATACTATTTTCATGTCAGATCAAGCAAATTCCTACTAGGTAAGAACAAACCACAGAAGAAATCACAATTGCTACACTGCAGGAGCCTAGCAACTGACAGCTTCTCTAAAGCACTGATGGAGCAAATGAGATGGAAAATTCTGGTTTGTTCAGTGTGAGGCAAGTCAGATCTGCATCTTTTATTGTTACCAGAAAACTGTAGTGGCATTTTTCTCTTGAAGTTACTTCTTGCTTTGACTTCCTCTCTGCCCCTAATTCCTCCAAAATTAAGTCATCAGCTTCACAATCAATGCATAAACAAAAGAAAGAGCATTAGAAAAATATGTAGGCCAGAGAAAATGACCTGCATTTCTGTTCCTCCTGCCATACTCCTGTTATCAATAAGCGGATACTGGGTTTCACAGGGAATTGGAGCCATCTAACACTCATGTATGTACTGAACGAAAAAAACAACCTGCCACTGAACACTTTTTCACTGATTTATAAAAAAATAATACATGCAAGCACTGTCTGGAACACAGACATGCTCACATTGTTAAAAAGAGTGCCACAGCTTGTAGTTTCACTCAAAAGCTTGTTCTGTACTATAGGAAGCATCGTAATCTGACTGAGATGGGATCACAGCTAAAGTCATGTTTGTGATCCTTGCTTTGATTTCAGAGTGGACAAAATTAGCTTTAGTTTCAATTAAGGCACCACATTCTGTGAAATAAAGCAAGACTAATGAGCAACAGGATTATTTTTTCAGGTGTACTGAAGACTAATGTTTCACATGGGAATCTCCAATATATCCACTTCAACAAATTCCAGACATAAATGAACCTCAGTCTGGCTTTGCTATGGGAAGGTGTTTCTGCAGTAGAACTGCTCCCTGTAACTCAGATGCTGAAAGCTGAGATCCTTCTGCAAAAGAAGGAAGCATGTGATCTTTCTGAAAATCTAAAAGACTACATATGAAACTCCCTTAAATTAATTCGTACTCTGTACTAATGGAAATTGTTTTAAGAGAAGAAGCTTCAGACTGGTTGATCCCTTTTAGAAATACACATTTAAAAAAAAACAACAACAACCCTGCCTGTTTACTGACTTTCTTCATTTCTCATCAGTATTTTGCCCAAAACCAGGCTCACCTCTGTTCAAGAGTATCTACTTTTGCTGCCTATTTTCCACAATAACACGATTACTCCAGAACACATGAAGATAAGACTCCCTTCTCAGAAGTCCTTTGCATGAAATGCTGTACTATTTTAGTATATTGTGCAAGATTTCTTTTCCTACGTGAGATGTACTTTGCTTGATGTGTGATACAGCTGTCTCCACTGGCCTCCATGAAATGGTAGCTGAGGTAGCATGGAGAGAGAAAATTCTGTATTTAGGACTCTGCAGAAAGTCTGGGTTCACTCACCCACACTTCTATCAAAATCTGGAAAAAAAGCTCCACAGGCACAGAACTACCATAGTACAAGGGACTATTCTGCCACAAAGATACAAAGAAATGCACCTCAAAGAACTGCAAACACAGGTTTTTAAAAATACAGACTTCGTGCTGATCACAAACTTTGAAATCAAGAATTCTGCTTAAAAGACCACTTCTTGTTTGAATACTAAACAGAAGAAGATTAATAGGACTGAAACCATATTGTTTAGTACAGAAATGTGTGAGCTACATGGAAAAAAAAAGGCCCAGGATGACTTTCAAGTGAGTACTGCTAAACCTATAGGAAACAAAGAAAAAGACAAAAAACATGCTCCTAGAGAGTCTTGTCTTCAGGTCAGTTCTTGCTCTGAAAACAATCAGTGCTCGCTTTGCCATATGAGAGTTCTAATCAGACACCTAGATCCCAAGTACATATTCTGCAGCACACAAAAACTTTTTGCTTCTAGTGAGCAGCTGTTTCAGGCCTGATGACTTTGTAAGCAAAGACAGGGGTGGACAAGGGCTAGTCCAAGAACAGAGAATGTTCTTGTGGTTTCGTAACAGGATTATAGCAGCATTTGTACCAGGGGAGAGGGAGAGTGAGGAGAAAAATCAAGTATCTTCACATACCTCTTCAAAGTGTGGTGGGATTTGTAAAGGTGGTTGAGACCAGTATTTAATTGTCCTGCGGTTTCTCCACAGAAGAAACAAACCACCTGTTGCAAGAGCTAACACCAACACAAATATTGGTATAAACGCAGCTCTGGTTGCTTCTAAAAAAGACAAAAAAAAAAAAAAAAGAACCACCATATACATACATATCATTGAACATAAAACAATATACAGCAAGTTAAAATTTACTATACTTGGTCATCAAAGTGCAATTTCCAAGGCTAAGATCACAGCACTACTATATGTGTGCTCTAAGCACCTGTGTTTTGTGATTCCACATGGAAGCCACCAGGTACTGTGAACTTCCTTCCCCTCAGTCACGCAGCCTAAGGCAGACTTCTACTTGGCACCCTAGCAGGGCTAACAAAGAGCTGAAGGAATCACTGCTGGTGGGCAGAGTGCAGGCAGGGAATGCCATCTGTCCTCCACCTTCAAGACTGCCAGCAAGAGCCATCAATACCAGGGGCTTCTATTTCAGAACATACACCTCCCTCCAGCAATAGAAGCATCACAGACTCCAACATCACAGCTCTGGGGCTTGCTATCAAGACTACCTGGGAGGTGGCATAAGCAGTTCATACACATCCTCTCCTGCATTCAAAGCACGCTAAGGAATGGTTGTGCCTGTGTGTTGGGGATCACATGGAGAGATTAAGGAGAGGGACAAACTCTGTTATCTTGCACATGCTCTCTCCTCCCCTCACCCTCTCTCTTATCTCATGCAAAAACACGGAACTCAAACTGTCAGAGAAGGTCAGATAGGAGAGGGATGTTCCTCTCCTGCAGGAGTGGCTGAGTCAGTGAGGCAGTGGCTGAGGGAGGGGATTTGCAAGACTAACACCGTGTCCTTCATCAATGACTTCCTCTAAAGAGCAAGTATTGTCTTACTTTCCAGAAATACGCAAAGAAATACCCATAGCATTATCTATGAAGGGAAAGGATGAGGGGAAGAGTACAACAAAGACTCTCAATCGCTGGCTGAAAAACTCCATATTGTTTTGCCATTAATTCCAATTGTGAACTACTCTCAAGAGGTGCTCTCTTAGCTCTCCTGACAAATGTGGGTGCACAACTGAACAGTTATACCATCTAAACTCATGTTCTCCACTCATCCCATTGTATACACAAAGTAACAGAATCGGATTATACCACTGATTGTAGTTCTGCAACACACTGGGGCACTTTGCCGTCCAAGTAACTGGAAAGCTAAATACGTTGTCAATTCTACTTGAACACCAAGACAATAAAGTGTTGATTCCTTTATGTTTCTGATTTTGAATAGTGTATTGCTTGTCTTTATCTCCTGTTTAAAAGACAAAAAAAAATAAAAAATACATGTATTACTGTAAAAACCAGACCTGTCTTCAACACAAACGTCCTCCACATATTTAAGTTTTTCATTCAATAAGCACAGGTTTTATTTTTTGTAATTCAGCTTTCCCAAACAAGAGAAGTACTGAATGTATTTCGACCTTCCTACTTGAATGCATTTGAAATGTCATTAATTTTAGATAAAATTAAGCCTGACAATTTAAAACCATGTCTACGGGCACAAACAGCAGAGGCATGAAAACTGAGGCAAGGTCTCATTTTATGCACAATATGCTGCTGGACACTTTCACACAGTTTCTTTTAACAGCTCAGGCAGTGAGAGCAACACAGGAAGGGGGAGGGAAAAACAAGCCCTGAAAAGAGCCTCCACCAGCAGAGGAAGCTGAAGGATATGGAGTTCAGTGAAGAGCTTCCACCATCTCAGCTCCTTCTACTGAAGAGGAAAAAACCTGATAGGCAGTGCAAAATCCCCACAGTTTCCACAGGGCCACCACAGTCTTTTGGGAATTTTTACCCTGAAAGTGGCTAGGATAACAGCCTCAGTTAAGCCTACATATAGAGCAACTTCTTCTCTGAATCTCAAACATTAAAGTAATATTTGTGTCTCAGAAAAATGCACATTGGTGCCAAAGAGGAAGGAAGTGGAGAGGCTTTGGATTTAGCAAAGTCTTCAAAACACAAGCGTTCTAATCTTTTTTTTTTTCTGCTTCTTCTGGTTTTTTTTCAACATTTGACATCAGAAGGACATTCATTTGAATCTTCTTAATCTTCTTCCCTTTTTTTTTTTGTCTTTTTTTAAAGGTGCCTTTGTCCCTCCCCTGCAATGCTAGCCTGCCAAAAACACAGTTACCAAGGCCCCAGAGAGCAGCATAAGCACACAAGGAGATAAATACCCTTAAGTCTCAATAGCAACAGTACTGGCTCATCCCAGCTGAGTCCAGCGTGCTTCTAATAACTCCCCCTTTCTCTGTCCTAGGAACAGGCAACATCAGGCTGAAGCTGACTGTTTCTGATGCTGCCAGCACAAACAAGCCCAGCACAGGAAAGGAGGAAGGATATTTCAGGGTTTTTCAAATTGCCTAAACCAACTTTGGAATCTAAACGTCATTTCAAAGCCACCTTTGACACTTTGTGGATTTTCTCCCTCAAGCAGCAATGTGATTTAACCTTTGCTTCGTAAGGAGGAAAAAAAGATGGTTTTCAAAGTTTTGTAATATATGCAATACTTGTGCCAAGACCAAAATAACATTTTTTCAAGACACCAAGAGAAAAAAATTACATTAGTTTTCTTCCTCCATTAGTGATGTTTTTTCAAGAGACACTGGCTCATATCTCTTAGTCACAAAGGCATTGTGGACTAAATAAATTAGAGAGAATTCTTACTTGTTTAGTAGTACTTGTTGCATTCTCCCAGTAGGACACATGATACTGAAGAAAGTATCCTGCTTCAGATCCAATAGGGGGTGTGATACTAATGAGAAGGGAGTCAGAATTTTTAGTCTCACAGTTCACTTTTGGGGGCCCTATTGTAGCTGAAAATAAACAAAGAAAGAGCAGTGAACCTCTGGGAGGTAGAAGAGCTCATCATACTGTCTTCAGCTTTACTTAGATACTCTCAACAAACATACTAAATATTGACAGGTTTTTTTCTCAAGAAAAGAAGTATAACATTTTCTCACCTAGTTATAGAATCACAGAATGATTAGGGTTCAAGATGACCGCGTGCAACTGTAATCCAACTACCACAGCCACCAATCTATATCCTGAAGCGCCACATCTAGATGCTTCTTGAACACCTCCAGGGATGGCGACTCCACCACCTCCCTGGGCAGCCTGTTCCATTGCTTCACCACTCTTTCAGTACAGAAATCTGTCCTAATATCCAACCCAAACCTCCCCTGGCACAACTTAAACACATTTCCTCTTGTCCTATCACTAGTTACTAGAGAGAAGAGACCAACACCGGCCTCTCTACAACCTCCCTTCAGGTAGCTGTACAGAGCAGTGAGATCTCCCCTGAGCCTTCTCTTCTTCAGACTAAATAACCCCAGTTCCCTCAGCTACTCCTTATACAACATGCCCTCCAAAACCCTCACCAGCCTTGTTGCTCCAGGGCCTCAATGTCTTTCTTCTAGTGTGGTGCCCAGCACTGAACACAGTGGCCACAGCTGTGGCCGTGCCAGGGCCGAGTACAGGGGCATGATCACTTCCCTCCTGCTGGACACACTGGTTTTGGTATAGGCTGGAAAGTGTCTGGCAGAAAAGGACCTGGGGGTTCTAATTGACAAGCAGCAGAGTATGAGCCAGCAGTGTGCCCAGGTGGCCAAGAAAGCCAATGGCATCCTGGCTTGTCTTAGAAACTGTATGACCAGCAGAAGGAGAGAGGTGACTGTCCCCCTGTCCTCAGCACTGGTGAGGCCACACCTGGAGTGTTGTGCCCAGTTTTGGGCACCTCAATTCAAGAGAGATCTCGAGGTGCTGGAGCGAGTACAGAGGAGGGCAACAAAGCTGGTGAAGGGCCTTGAGAATAAATCTTATGGAGAACATTTGAAGGAGCTGGGAATGTTTAGTTTGAGGAAGAGGAGGCTGAGGGGAGACCTCATCAGTCTCTACAGCTACCTGAAAGGTCATTGTAGAGAGGTTGGGGCTGGGCTCTTATCACAGGTAATTAGTGACAGAACAAGAGGGAATGGCTTCAAGCTGCAACAGGAGAGGTTTAGAATGGACGTTAGGAAATTTTTTTTCACAGAGTGGTCACACACTGGAATAGGCTGCCCAAGGAGGTAACTGAGTCACCACCCCTGGATGTGTTTAAGGGTCGTTTGGATGTGGTGTTGGTGGATATGGTTTAGGGGAGAACTTTGTAGAGTAGGGATGATGGTTGGACTCGGTGAGCCCAAGGGTCTTTTCTAACCTGAATAGTTCTATGATTCTATGAAATACTAAACAGAACTGCCCCAGTACCAAGCCCTGGGGGACACTGCTTCTGACCAGCCACCAGCTGGATTTAATTCCATTTATTGCAACTCTCTGGGCCTGGCCATCCAGCCAGTTTTTAATGCACTGAAGAATCCACCTGTCTACACCGTCGACCACATGTTTCTCAAGGAGAATTTCAGATACCTGTTTTATTACAAATCTAAGGAAAAAGACTTAAAAGCAAAAGTGAAACTAGGTTATTTAAAAAAAAAAAGTTTATTTCTAACTTCCCCTGGAAATCCAGTAAATTTTAACAAGACTATATCTAAATTTATCTGTTGATGGTGATAGCATTTTGTTTTGTTTTTTTTTCTCCAAATAGACTGCCACATACTCCATGTTCTCTAAAAACACACTGCTTGGGTCAATAGATTGGAAGAGCAATAACTAGTTTCCCTCTCCTTGCTTTAATGCTTCCATCTGTCTTATTGGGTAAACATGATTACTTCCTTTTCTGAAATATTCTGAGGTCTAAATAATGAAAAATATTCTATAAAGTACTGCCAGTTGTAATACAAGAGACTTCTGTGATCACAGGTCACACACACTCACTAGTAATTTATTCTTTGTATCTTGACTTCTTTCACCAGCTAAGATTATCAGCATTTGTAAAGCACTCCAGGATCTCATAAAATTCACTCATGCAAATAGGAGAGTAGTTAGCAACTGCTTGCATACTAGGAGAGGTAACTAAAAGCCAATCCTTGAATGCAACCATTGCCTCAAGAAATCCAGAAGAACCTGGTCTGTCCGCTGTTACAGAAAATTATCCCCCATGATCTTTTCATTGGTTAAGAAATTTCAAATTCTCTCTATTTCCTGTTGCTGTACAAGAGCAAATGCCTTGTTGTGTGTCCTCACAAGTTCCTGAAGCTCCCCTCTCAAGTGGGACTGAGTCAGACACTAAAAATAGATAACAGCCTGATGGAGTAACCCATGGTTTTGGTGTCCAGGAACCGATCTCAAAGGCAGTCACACAAGAATTATCACAGAATCTTCCTCTTGCTCGTCCAAGGAACAGACACACAATCATATCTCCAACACTGAGCCTCTCCTTTGTCTTATATCCCTATTAGCCCAGTGCTTTCCCT